GCCTAGACCCTTCTGATGAAGGGTCTAGGCCCGAAACGTCAGCCTTTCTGCTCCTATGATGCTGCTTGGCCTGCTGTGTTCATCCAGCTCTGCACCTTGTTGTCTCGGATTCTCCAGCATCTGCAGTTCCTACTATCTCTGATTTGAATTCCTAGAATTTTGCTACAATTTTTAAGTTGAGACCAATCCGCTTTTTTTGAGGAAAAAACTGAACTTTCTGTTTGGAAGCCCATACATGTGATTTAAAACGTTTGCTTAAATAATTAAGAGCTCACCAATCCCTGTCCTTTTTGTTTTGGCTGTAAGACCATAAGACATAGGAGTAGAATTAGGCCAATAGCCCCATCGAGTCTGCTCCAGCATTTGACCATGGCTGACGTGTTTTTCAACCCCATTCTCCTTCCTTCTTCCCATAACGTTTGATCCCCTTGCTAATCAAGACCTATCTATCTCTGTCTTGAATACACTGACCTTGCCAGACACAGCAAGATCCCTGTCCTGGCCCTGCCTCTTTCTTTTAGTTGCAAAGTAACCGCCATTTGCAAATTTGGTTTGTGTATTTTTGAAAGGAGAAACATGCCAATTGATCTTAAACAAAGTGTAAAGAGCAGGCTCAGGCTGTCTTTTGTGAGAAGAAATGACCAAATACAATATAGTTTAATAACCAGTTTCTTAAACTTGTGTGCAGTCTTTTCCATGGATTTAAAAATCATGTTGTGTTTTCTTTCAGAATGGAGACTACAATAAGCCAATTCCTGCTCAGTACATGGAACATCTGAATCACATGGTCACCAGCTGGGCAACACCCTCTCAAGCTTCTAAAATTCAGCAGTGGCCGAATGGGCAAATTCTGTTCTGCAAGAAATGCAACAGCAACCAGCCCCTGAAGATCAAGCAGTTGGCATCTTTTGTGCCTCGGGATGAGGTGGGAGTTTAGTTTCCAGCAACTGTTAAACTTATGCATGCTTGGGCTCATCATGACCCCATGTCTAGTTCTCAGCATTTGTTCCTTCTAGACACTCTGCACGTTCCTTGGAAAATAAGGAAATGGAGAAGGATTGGGGGTCTCTGTGTTATATCTCTATCTCTCTCCCCCCTCGCACGCTCGCTGTCTTCCCCCCTCGCGCGCTTGCTCTCCCCTTCTCCAAATGAAGAACTAGCCAGACATCCATTTTATTTAAATTTGTTTTTCCTGTCTTGGAAATAGAATCTGCTATAGTAACAGATTGCTAAGTCGACCTCAGTAACCATGGTTATGTTTACGTTTGGATACGTCTGTACCATAGCGCTGATGTTATTGGATGAATAATCCTGGCGCTCTAAGCTGATTGATCTTTGAGAGAGTTTGCAGCTGGGGAATTCAAATTGAACTTATTAAATAAATTTGGAATGAAAATGCTTTTGTAGTGATGTTGGACAAGAAACTACTCGGTTATCATTAAAAATCCACCTGGTTCACGAATGTTTTTAGGGAAAGAAATCTGCCACCCTTACCAGGTGTGGCCTCTGATTTCAGACACTCAGTAAATGTGGTTGAAGTGACCTTGATGTGCTGTCTGAAGTAATTACCTATCAAGCTATTTAGTTGTACTCGGAAAGCTCACCATCACCTTCTAAAGGCTGATAAAGATGGGCAATAAACAAGACATCCTGGTAATGCCTGTAAATCTGGAGGTTGAAGGAATGATGATGATATTTGCATTTCAGATAGCAAGTGGCTTGGAAAGGAACTTACATGGAAATACCACCACCTGCTTTTGCTGCCTTCTTGATGGCAGCTCTTGTGGGTTTGGAAGCTGCCTAAGGAGTCTAAGTGAAATTTTACATTGCACCTTGTAATGGTATACACTGCTGCATCTGAGCTCCTGTGATGAACAGAATGAATTCTTATGGATGTGGTACTGAACAACAGAGCTGCTTGAATAGTGTCAAGCTTCTTGAGTGTTGTTTTACGTTGCACCCACCCAGGCAAGTGGGAAGTATTCCATCACACTTCTGACCTGTGTCAGGTAGATGCTGGACACGCTGCTTTTTGGTTGGGGGCGGGGGCGGGGACGGGGACGGGATGGGGTGAGATCAGAAAGCCAGTTAATTGTTGCAGGATTCCTTCTCTGTCACCTGTTCTTATAACCAGTGTGTATTTATATGGTTAGTCCAGTACTATTTTGGGTCAATAGTAATACCCAGGATGTTGATAGAGGGATTCAGTGTTGGTAATGCTATCGAATGTTAAAAGAATGGTTAGATGCTCTCTTGCCTGAGATGGTCATTATTTGGCATTTCTGATGTGTGAATGTTACTTGCCACACACCAGTCAAAACCTTGATTTTGTCCAGGTTTTGCTGCATTAGGACATGGACTGCTTCAGAATCTGAGGTCATGCAAACGGCACTCAATATTATGCAAACATCAGTAAGCATCATCACTTGACTTTCTATATAGAAAAGATCTTTGGCGAAGTAGTTAAGATGGTTGAACCTAGGACACGAACCTAGGAGTTCCTAGGCAGAGATGTCCTGGAGCTGAGGTAACTCCCCCCAACAACTACAACTATATACCTGTGTTAGGTATGACTCTGACCAGTGTAGAGTTTCCCTCTTGATTCTTATTGACTCTAGTTTTAGTCTGGCCTTTAAATGTCAAGGGCAGTCACTCTCATCGATGTTTGAATCAAGACTATAATGAGATGAAGTGACGAGTGGCCCTGATGGAGCTCAAACTGCATGTCAGTGAGCAGGTTATTGCTAAGGAAGTGCTGTTTGGTAACACTGATGACATATTCCATCACTTTACTGATGATTGAGAGTTGACTGCTGGGTCTGTAATTGACGAGGTTGGGTTTTCCGATTTAGTGTAAACTAGGCAGATGGTTAGATGGCAGTGTGGAGCTACAGGCATGGCAAGTTCTGGAGCACACATCTTCAGTATTCTTGCCAGTACTGTTGTTTGTTTTTTCCAAGGCCCATAGCCCTTGTATCCAAAGACTCCAGCCATTGCATGATATCACATGGCGAGAATCAAAATTGCAGCACTTGTGATGTCAGTGACCACACAAAGCCAAAATGGATCATCCACTTTGCATTTCTAGCTGAAGACCATTGCATATGTTTTAGCTTTATCTTTTGCCCAGATGTGCTGGGCTCTTCTATTATTGAGGATGAAGATATTTGTGGAGCTGCCACCACCTCCTCCAGACAGTTCAGTTGGCCATGAGTCATTATTCGTGACTGTAGCAGAACTGCAGAGCTTAGATCTGATCCAGGGGTTGTGGAATTGTTCTGTTGTGGCTGTCACTTGCTGCTTATATTGTTTGGCCAGCGCATAGTCCAGTTTTGTAGGTTCATGAGTTTGATGCCTCACTTTTTAGGTTATGCCTGGTGTTGCTGTTGGTATGTGCTCCTGCGCTCTTCATTGAACTAAGGATGATCCCCTGGCTTGATGGTAACGGTAGAGTAGAGAATATGCCAGACCATAACATTGCACATTTTGTTGGAGTACAATTCTGCTGTTGATCGTAGAATCCCTATAATGTGGAGCAAGGCCATTTGGCCCATCGAGTCTGCACCAACCCTTAGAGCAGCCCACCCTGCCCCATAACCCCACATCTACCCTGCCTAATCCATCTGGCCTACATGTCCCTGAACACTACGGACAATTTCAGCATAGCCAGTCCACCTGACCTGCACATCTTTGGACTGTGGGCGGAAGCTGGAGCACCTGGAGGAAACCCACGCAGACATGGGGACCAAGTGCAAACTCTAAAACAGATAACCACCCGAGGCTGGAATCGAACCCGGATCACTGGCACTGTGAGGCAGAAGTGCTAACTGCTGAGCCACAACGCATTGTGTGTGCCCAGCCTTGAGCTGCTAAATCTGTTCAGAGTCTATCCAATTTAGCATATGCCACATAACAGTGGAAGAATCTGAGGATAATAGTCCAGCACCTCCGTATATTTTCCTTAAGGAATGTATGTGCATTTGAGGTGGTTCAGAGGAGATTTTGTAGCATTATACCTAGAATGAGTGGATTATCTTGAGGAAAGATTGGATAAGCTCAGCTTGCTTTCATGGACTTCAAGATGGTTGGTTTGATTTTAATTGAAGTTTAGAAGGTTTTGAATGTGGGAAGGATATACAGTATATTCTTGTGGGTGAGTCCAGAATTAAGGTACACTTTTAAAATTGGGGGTCACCTAAAGATGAGGGAAATTTTTGAGGGTTGTGCAACTTTGGAACACACTGCCTTCTGAGGCAGAGAGGTAGCTGAATATTTTAAGGTAATCCGGGATTGATGGGAATGTGAAATCTGGAACACAAATGCATCAGCATGATCTTATTGAATGGCAGTTCATGTTTGAAGGCCTGATTGGTCCACTTGTGCTCCAAATTCACATTTGTATGAAGCAAATTCATGGCCATCTCCAGTGACTAAATAACAGCAATGGGCATGTCCCATGTGTACATTGAAAATTCTTGTCAGCAGTACATTTGGATCAGTGTTTTGCTACAGATGAGCTGGAATCAAAAGGAAATGCTGGAACAGTGTGAATGAAGTCATGATCTTCCTCCTCCCTTTCACACTTTACAATGAAGTTTTTCTATTGATTTGAAGTAATTTCTATCAGGAAATAAACCTTGCATCTAACTTTTTTTTGCCCTAAGTATTTTTGTTTTTTTTAAGAGAGTTAAATGTATTGTTACATTAATGCAGATTCTGCATTAAATTTGTAGAAGTTTGGAAAACTGATGTCCTCCTACCTCTGGTTTAAGGCAAGAGATTCAAGTTCCAAGCTGTTTATTGATCTCCTCCTAGCCTTAGTCACATGAGGCGGGGGGGTCACTAAATTCTGACAAGTGAGGGAAAAAAAATGTGATCTAAGGCTTTGAATTATGCAGCACCTAAAAGTGTAATAATGTATCATTAACATTAGGTTTTGCCTTTGACATGGTCAAATCTTCAGCACTAGTTGTGCAGTTTTAAGAGTTTGATCTTAAATTTAGGAGAACCAATTTACACATTATTATCTTTCTTGAGAAATTTGGGCAAAAGCCTCGGCCTCTCGTAGAAGAATACACTGTGTGGTTGTAAACTAAAGACTAAAATGAGGCATGAGATAACTATAGCAAATGGCATGTTAACGATTATGAGTTTGAAAAGCCTGGAGGTTCTGGAGGGAGTTTTGCAGCTCCTTTGCATAGAGATCCTGGAAAAGAATGAATAAGTATTTGAGGCAGAATGACTGGCCTTTATTTTCATAGAGGGAGATGGAAGAAAGGGTAGGCATGCTCAGGTGCAACAAGTACAGACGTTGTAAACCGGAAGAACTGCAGATGTTGTAAATTGGGAACAAAAACAGAAGTTGCTGGAAATGCTCAGCAGGTCTGGCAGCATCTGTGAAGAAAATATCAGAGTTAACGTTTCGGGTCTGACGACCCTTCCTCAGAACAGTACAGATATTGCTTGTTATTAACAAGGCAGCTTGGGTGTTTTTAATTTTGGCTGTTGTAGGTGGCCTTCACCCTTCCTCCCATTGTTGGGGGCTGTGTCAAGTCTCACCTTCTACAATTTTCTCTCTAAACTCACCACCCTGTTTTCTTTATTTCTTTTTCCTTTTATAGACCATCCTTTTAAAACTTGTGTCTGTAACTAAATTTTTGCATTATCTGTCCTAATAGTTTACTACATTGCATGATATCCCTTTTGCTGTTGATTTTCTCTAAAGCATCTTTGACTGCTAATCTACATTTGAATGAAGTTGTGTATAGGCAGGCCATTCCACCAAAGCAGTTGCTATTGAGATTAAACTACAAATTGTTTTCCAGTATGATTTAAAGACTATGTTTTGAAGCTATCTGCAAGTCCTCCATTCCATAGTAATGCAATACAAATAGGATTTGCTGCCAAATACACTTTAGCAATATT